TATGTATTATACTCTTATAGTATGTATATAGATATTTCATCTCCTGCCTTGTCATGTATTGAACAATCAATAAATAAAGAACACAGAATTATTAAATATAAAACACAGAATTTGTGTGATTATACTAAATGATTTACAAATAAACACCACTGCATATTTACAACTGTTACACATACTGATGTATCTGGTGTGAGGGTTAGGATTAGGGTTAGGGTTAGGGTTAGGGTAATGTTGTGAATCGAGTGGCCCATGGTGGTGGTGGGGTTATAGTATGGGCAGGCGTATGTTATGGACGATGAACACGGGCCACTCGATTCACAACATTACCCTAACCCTAACCCTCACACCAGATACTGACTGGTTTTCGGACCCCCCCAGACCCCCCCAATAAAGCAAAACTGCATGTTTCAGAGTGGCCTTTTATTGTGGCCAGTCTAAGGCACACCTGTGCAATAATCATGCTGTCTAATAAGCATCTTGATATGCCACACCTGTGAGGTGGGATGGATTATCTCGGCAAAGGAGAAGTGCTCACTATCACAGATTTTTTCAGATTTGTGAACAATACTTGAGAGAAATGGTTATTTTGTGTATATAGAAAATGTTTTAGATCTTTGAGTTCACCTCATGAAAAATTGGAGCAAAAACAAAAGTGTTGCGTTTATATTTTTGTTCAGTGTAGATAAAGGTGGTGGTCATACTTTACACTTCACAAAATGTAGGATGATATATATATTTTTGTGTGTAAGTGTATTCACATGTCACAACTTTGTTTTAAATTATAAAATAATACAAACATACATAGATGAATCCAATACCTCAGTATGAAACAATACAGTAATTCACTGTTTACTAAATGTCTCCAACCAACGTTTTGTCAGAAATTAAAAGACCCTTTAGAAACTGTGCCAGGCAAGGACATAAAGCTTGAGAGACATGGCAACGGTAACTAAGGGAGGCGGGGTTTAGCAAAAGGTAGGATTAGGCAACATGGATGGTGTCTCCTAGAGTAGGTTTTTTTAGCTAAAATTATCGCACTATTACAACTTTAATGTTGGATGAAACAAAAACAATATCCTGATTTTAATATTTTACAATCTTCAGATTTGGCTATTACATAATAATCTGCATGCAAGTGGACATTTGGGCCAACTGTTGGCATTTTAGAGGAGAACACTAATTAGATTAAATCCTCTGGAGAGCATGAATAACTTACAGAAAAACACAAAGTAATACAAATAAATAAATGAGGGAAACAGAAAACCAGTGACGACTATTAACCCTGTTTGAAATAAAGAATATTTAATCATATGTTTTCTCGTAATGGAATGGCTATATTATTTAATATTGTATAATATATATATTTAACATTATTCATTCGTTTTGTTGAATTATTCATTCATGAAAACATGATTTAAGCCAGCATAATTAGTGTATAAATATAAGGAATTAGTACAATTATTTTTAAACCATTTCAATTGGGAATCCAATCTCTAAACACTTTGCAACACATTACATAACAATTCCAAATTCAGCATTCTGCGTCCTTGCATATCAATCTTATATCATTAACTAAAATGTGAGTTATTAAATATCAAAATTTGATAATAGCTTCATATTTGGCGAAGTATATTGATCTATGTTTTGTTTGTCTGTCTCTGTTTCCTGGTTTTATTTTGAAAAGTGTTCCCCCTCCCGTCTTTTACTGGTGATTGTGTTCACCTGGTGCCCTGTGTTGTCTCCTCCCCCCTCACCTGTGTCTTGTTGGCTTGATTAGTCTGTGGGTATTTAGGCTCTGTTTTTTCTGTTAGTGTGTGTGTGAGGTCCTTGTTGCTGGTGACTGTGTTCAGGGGAGGCAGTCATATTGAGGCTGTGTATCATGTACCACAAAGAGGAACAAATGCCCACACCGTGTTATATTTGAACTCTCTGCCTCTGCCTCCTTACTTGGTCGGGCCGCTCAACGGTCAGCTTCACATGCATTAACAGTGAAATGCATTTTGAATGATATTGAATGCCATTAGGGACACATCCAAAGTGTTTTCAACTTACTTTATGAAGAATTGCCAAACATAACATTACATTGTAAGGAATCTTGGTGTTATATTTGATCAGGATTTATCCTTTAACGCCCACATAAAATCAATTTCAAGGACCGCCTACTTCCATCTACGTAACATTGCAAAAATCAGGCTATCTTGCCTCAAAACAATGCAGAGAAAACTAGTCCATGCATTTGTTACTTCAAGGCTGGATTATTGTAACTCCTTATTATCAGGGTGTGCCAAGAAGTCAGTCAAGTCGCTTCAGCTGATTCAAAAAGCTGCAGCTCGTGTACTAACCAGAGTTAGGAAAAGTGACCACATTACTCCTGTTCTGGCTGCCTTACACTGGCTCCCTATAGAACACAGGATAGAATTTAAAATTTGTCTTCTCGCCTACAAAGCCCTTAATGGGCAGGTGCCATCTTACCTTAAAGAACTCAACCCAGCTTCCCCAAATTTCTTTCTTTTTGGTGTCTATATACGCCGGGATCCGGAGTCATGGATGATCCTGCGGTCCTGTGTCATGGATCGCGAGTCCTGGATCTTGAGTCGTGGCTGTGGTCCTGGATCATAAGTCCTGGATGGATGTCCTCGTGGATTCATCTTCCTATTATACACACATGCATTTCCAAACATTTGGACTACCTATGTTGCAAATGTATTATCTTTTCAATTTACACACGGCATCTATTGCACGTCTGTCCGTCCTGGGAGAGGGATCCCTCCTCTGTTGCTCTCCCTGAGGTTTCTCCCATGTTCCCCTTTAAACTGTAGGTTTTCTCCGGAAGTCTTTCCTTGTACGATGTGAGGGTCTAAGGACAGAGGGTGTCGTATTGTCATACTGATATTCTGTACAAACTGTGAAGTCCACTGAGACAAATGTAACATTTGTGATATTGGGCTATATAAATAAACATTGATTGATTGATTGATTACATTTCATTTAGCTGACTTTATCCAAAGTGACTTACAATTACCGGTTACAGGGACATTCTCCCTGGAGTAACTAAGGGCTAAGTGCCTTACTCAAGGGCACACTAGTGGTGGTGTTCCTGGCGGGATTTGAACTCACAACCTTCCGATCTTCAGCCCACCTCACTATCGATTAGACCACCACTATCAACACTAGTGCAAATACAACCAACTAACTATGTGTTGATAAGAAGATTCACATGCTTGTGTTTTCGATTAAGACTGATATACTACAATA